TTCATAAGAATCTGAGTTGACATTCAAACCCAGGTCTTTCTGACACCAACACCAACATTCATTTCACTACATTGAGAAAATATCATTGGATTTAACAGCTAAGACAGTAAGAGAGTAATTTCTGTCAAAAAGTGGGGTAAGAAGCCAGATTTCAAGGGATTGTGAAATGTGAGTCATAAAGAGCTAGAGGATAAAGGAAGAATAGAGGCAGTGAATGTAGTTCACTTCATCTAGAAGTTTGGCTGTGAAAAGGAGAAGAGTTATACAGCTTGGTGTAGAGTAGAGAAAGTGACACCTATCACAGAGAATTTGGGGGGGGGGAAGTATTTGCAGTATCTGGGATAGAAAATCATAATTAAAGGACTGAGCCCTGGGACCCTCTACTCTGGAATATAGAAACCTAGGGATATTCCCAGGGGACTCTAAGGAAGGTATTTATCTCTATAAAGGTTGTGAATGGGAGAAATAAGAAATATTACAGGAACAAAACAGAACAAGTCAATGTGAGGAAAGTGAAATACCTCTTGGACTGAACTTGGACAACTGGATAGGATGGTGGTGCCACCAAAAGAAGTAAGAAGAATTTGGAGGAGGGAATGTTTTGGGGAAAATATAATGAGTTCTATTTTGCATATATTGCAAAGACATGCAGGTGGGAAATGGAGTGTTGCATATGAAGAACTATTGCATATGAAGAAGTAGGCCATTGTGGCTGAAATTATAGTGTGTGGTACAAAAACAAAGGGAGAAGGGAGTACACAGGAGGGAGGAAAGATCAGGGGACACAGGGGAAGGAAGGTTCTGAGCTTCTTCATAGTTCTCTATATCCACAGCTCCTCCCACCCTCCATACACTTCCCCCCGTGCATTTGCTCTTCTCCTGGTGATAATTCTAGCCTCCTGAGGGGCTTGGAGGATCAGGGAACCTGTCCCTGCCTTTTCTCAAGGACAGACAAACTTTTTCTCTTCTCACTTCCTTCACTTTAATCCCAAACAGAGATTGGGATCAATGTGTCTCCATTTCTTGAACCTCTTGTTATCTCTCTTACCTGATAATTTGATTCTTTCAAGGTCACTGCCTGCCCAACAGCTTCCTTATTCTAATCTGCCTCTTCCTTAAATACTTGATAAGTCTAAAGTTATGACAGTGGTCTCCAATTTTGTTGTCCAGTCGTTTTCAGTTGTGTTTGACTCTTTGTGAGTCCATTTGGTGTTTTCTTGTCCAAGATGTAGTTTGCCATTTCTTTCTCCAGATAATTTTTACAGATGAGGAAACTGAGACAAACAGGGTTTTTAAGTGACTTGCCCAAGGTCACACAGCCAGTAAACATCTGAGGCCACATTTGAATTTAGGTCTTCTCAACTTCAGACCTGGCACTCTATCCACTGTGCCATCTAACTCCCCAGCCTCTAATAATGCAATTAATGATTTCGTAGTGTCCAAAAGAATTAAATTATTCAAAGACACAATCTTTATCAATCTCTTAACAGCATGTCTTAAACAAAGGTTTCTCAGAATTTACAGCACAGGAAAATTTAGGAACAATAATAGCATTCACAATATCATAAATTTAAAGCATGAAACAAGATTTATTACTAATCAGATGACATTAATTTAGTCAAATGCATTTCCAAATTAACCTACATTTTAAAAATTATTTATTCTACCACAAGTGGATTTTAAATTCTCAATCCTCATAGTTTGGAAAAGCATTAGTAGAAAACACATGTCATTAAAGACCCCACCAGCAAAAGGTAATATATACATAAGACAAATGAAATTAAATAGGACAAATGAAACTTACAGTGAAATTATGAAATATGCATATGTATGCATGCATACGTATATATATATATATATGTATATATATATATATGTATATACGTTCATACATATGACTTCATCAATTTAAACTCACAACTGTTATTGTTAGGCCAACCGAAAATATACTGGGCTAAACAGTATAAGCCATTATTGTTAAAATACCTCATATCATTATTCCAGAGGAAAGGCAGGTGAGACATTAAAACATCTGCATTTCCCAGATAAGGACACCTTAAAGAGATTTCTGCTGTATCAAATTCACTATAAAAAACATTATCATTATCTATTGTGTTTCCTAATGAACCATTTTCCAAGATTTTCACATCATTCTTTTAACAAGTGAATCTGTAACTCCAAAAGAATCCAGATTAAACGAACATGTATTTTTCTAACATTATTTCTAGTGCAATGAATTATCACATTTAGGTTAAGTACTATGTTTAGACATGTTACAGATTAGTAAGCTGGGATAATTTGTTATAGGATCACACAGGTAACAAATTTTCTGATCCATGCATTTTCCCTCTGCATCAATGCCAAATAACAGAATAAATTCTGACATATCATAATTTTCCCTCTAGGAGAACATCCCCCCCTTATAAATAAGACCAGAATAAATTCAATCACACCTGGATCTATTTCCCAAATAGCATTATACAGAATCACAATTTTTGTTTTATTATTATTTTTCTCTAAGGGCCTTTTATTCCAAGCATTTCATATTATAAAGCCCACTATTTTAGGCTAATCCACTGCCAAAAACATAAAAGTGGTAGTCTACTCCCATTATTCCATTTGGGGAACACACTTAAAAGCACATTCTGATTTAATTTGAGGATGTATTTCAATCAAGTCAGATCTGGGTTTTATAATTACTAATGGCAACATTTAAAATCTCAACAAGTACTCTTTGCTATGGGTTCACTCCCAGCTCCCATAACCTTTCTCTATTTACTTTTAAATCAGTTGAAGAACCTGACCAGACTTTGTCCCCATCCACCACAGCTTTGCATTCTTCTCTCCCTGCTTTGGAGGCTGGTAACGCAAGCTGCAATTTTTATTACTAAAGATCCCAACAAAATAAACACATAAAGTCTCTTACATCCTTGTTATTTCAACAAAACCAAAATTTCCCTCAAACCATTCTTCCCAACATACTTAAACATTCCTTCTTCTTTTAAAAATCCTTCCATATATCTGCACCTTTCTCACTTCCTTCATATTCTTCTCCTAAACTTTTTTAACTTCCTCATTCCCAACATTTCCTTGTATTTCAATAATACACATGCTTAAATCCCCCCTTCCTTTCTCCCTCCGAGCAAGATAACATTTTATTAGTAGGGCAAAGAACCTACCAATACAATGGGTCTCTAGCTTCCTCAGTTTATGCTAAAAGCCCCGAATTGAAGATACAACTCATTTTTATAAGCATAGAACAAAGAACAGAAGAAAATCATATAATTGGCTGGCATCATGGGGGCAAGAGATTATGATTGGTTATGGTAAGGTACATACACGTGGGATCAAGGGCACCCCTAAACAGTCTCAAAGGAATGTTTTGTGAATTTACGGACTCAGCTGCATCCCCAAGTCATTGACAGTGGACCAGGAAAGTAGACTCCCTGGCACCTGGGAAGAGGATAAGACCACTTTTAATTGGACCTGGGATGGGACAAGGTCAACTTGTCCACTCTCAAGGCTAGCACACAGATGCCGAGGCATTTCGTGGGAGCTGGAGTGAGGAGAAGCAACACGTGCACAGTGATTTGCATACTGAGATATCAATTCCCTTCGAGTTAATGTTTTCTGAGAGTATTGAACCTCTAAACTTAGCTCTGTTTTTCTTTCATTTCAAAGTGATCGATAGAGAAGCTAAACTCTCAGCTTTTAACTCAGAGAAAAAGACTGAACTTTTGAACTCATGAGCTTCTTCACTCAGAGACAAAGAAGAGGCTGAGGTTCTTGTAAAATGAGAATGAGGTTAGAAAATATATTCAATTACAGAAAGGGATCAAATATAAAATATCAAATCAATGCTTGCTTCTTTCATTTCTAACGAAACAGTGAACTTGAAAAACAAAATTTTAAATAACCTCTATGTGAATGCACTTTGAAAGACTGTTGAATAGGGACCCAGGGACCTGTGTTCAATTCCCAGCTCTGCCACTTGAAGTGTATCACTTAGGTAAATCACATAACCTCTCATCTGTAAAACGAGGAAGTAAAACTAAGATACCTTGCAACTCTACATCTATGATCCTATGACAGAACTGATTGACTAGTCAAAACGTCTGATAGGTATATGATGGCTAGAACCCATAGCTGGGGGAGAGGTTTACCAAGGGTTGGTGAGGGAGGGGAGAGTGAAGTGGGGGAGCTAGGGGAAGGTCCTGAGGTTTGCTGTGCTTCCCCCTCCTCTGATCATAAATGTGTCCTGCCCTCCCCTGCCCCTCTTCATCCACACAAATGTGCTGAATGCCTGCCCAGCCATCCTCTTCCTGAAAGCTGATTATACCTTAAATCACAGCCCAGGGATCAGCAGGTAAGAAACCTATGGGAGATGACAATCACAGCCTGTCCTCCTCCCCACAGCTTCTTTTCCTTCCATAAGGTTTATGCTGCATTTTGAAACTAAGAGTCCTGAATTGTCTCTGTGAATCCGCACCTTCTTCCCATGCCTCCTTCTGCCCACCCAACAGAGAAGCTGTCCTTACCTTAGGGGGAAAATTGATTCCATGTGTACTGCTGTGCCATGGACACACTTAATATGTGCTGAAAAGATGCTTCTGACTTGTCCAAACTTTCTTTTTTGTGAAGCTTCGTGGCTAGGCTGCTGGGGTCTGAATGGGGTGGCATGAGGAAGGACCCAGAGATCTAAGAAAGGATGTTTTGTGAATGTTCTACCCCATGACTCCTTGCCAACCCCTTCCTCTAGAGTCTAGACCCTATCTGCCTACTTGTGTTTAGGCCCCAATCCACCTCAGGATTATGTAAGTGGCACCTTCCCATGCCCACAGGATAATCAGATCCCACAACTACATCCTGTTCCTCCCCTGTGGCATAGTGCCTAAGTATCTTCAGACATATATAAGCCAGACATACCCAGGCAGGGGCTGCCTATTTGTAAGAGAGATACCACAGGTCCCAATAGACATGATTTGTTTCTTCCTTCCCAGGCTACTCCTCCTCTTGCCCCTGGCTGCTCCCACTTTAGGAATCCCCCATGGTCCCACATCCCCACTTCGCTACTCGAGATTCCTTGACCCATCCAATGTCGTGTATCTACGCTGGGACTTCGATATGGAAACCGAGATCATCACCTTTGATCTGCAGGTCCAGACAGCCGGCTGGGTGGGCCTTGGTGTCACTGATCGTTACACCAATGTGGGGGCCGATCTAGTGGTTGGAGGTGTCTTGCCTGATGGGACTGTCTACTTCTCGGTGAGTCTAAGTGTAGATTCTCTTCTCCCCTAGGGATGAGGGTAACTTACCAAGGAAGGGCCAGCTCTGGGCCTCTCACAAGATGGAAGAAAGACGTTAAAAATAGCAAGGAACATCCCAAGAATATCAGGCTGCTAGTGCTATATCCCCATTGGAAAATAGCAAAGTATGTAGTGATTCAGTCAGTCAATAAACATTTCTTAAACATCTACTGTGTGCCAGATACTATGTCTAGGTTTTGCTTTATATCCTTGACCTGGGCACGTACCTTATCAACTCTCATGGGAGCTTTCCTGAAGCTCCTTGCTTCCAGAACCAGCATTTTACACCTGGACCTACCCTGGTATATCCCTGTGTATGTCAAGAAACACATACAGACTTATGTATCTGCTTCTAGAGACAACATGCAAATAAAAATTTCATTCCCAAGATCATAAAAAAAATAAGAAACACATACAGAGGATCCCAGATCATTAAAAATGGAAGAAATTTCACTACCATTTACGAAAATCGATTTGGCTGATGAGAAAACAGATTCAGAGATTGAAAGAGGTCACTTGTCTCAGTGGAGACCTGAAACTATTAAGTAGCAGTACATAAAGTCAAACCAGTTTCCACATCTATCTATTTATAGCTGAATACAATGTAGCAGGAAGTTCATTGCACTGGAAGTCAGGAGACCTAAGATAAATCACCTAATCCCACTATAGCTCCATTTCTTCTAGAGAATGGACTTGAAAATCTTCTCTTCTGGTTCTTCTAACTTTAATCTTCTGTGATCCTTGTTCACCTGGGGCCACAGAGGGATACGGTGAAAAGAACACTCTTGTTACAGAGTCACATGATTTGTGTTCATGTTCCATCTCTACCATTTGCTATCTGCATAACCTTGAGGAAGCCAATTTACCTCCAAGGACCCCAATTAATTACTGTGTAAAATCAGGGAATTGTACTCTATGATATTCCATTGGTTCCATCCAAATCCAAACCACAAATGAGAACCTTTGAGTATCATTTCAATAACATTCTCAGTATTCTCTGCCTTTGTGAGGAAGAAGAAAACACAGGGGCATCACTACCCCTTATTTCAAGGAACAGAGGGATAGCTATATCTCTGGCTGAAAAGTAATCATTCATCAAATACTTACTGAATGTTCAGTATGTGTGAAGCTCTGTACTAGCTATAAGTTGTTGTTGTCCAGTCATTTCAATTGTGTCTGATTCTTCATGACCCCGTTTGGGGTTTACTTGGCAAAGATAATGGAGTGATTTGTCATTTCCTTCTCCAGCTCATTTTACAAAGAGGATTAAGTGACTGCTCAAGGTCATACAGCTAATAAGTATGTAAGGTCAGATTTGAACTCAGGAACATGAGTCTTCCTGACCTCAGGTCTGGCATTCTATGCACTATGGTATCACCTAGCAGCCATATTAGCTATAAGTACAGGAACCTTAATTTCAGGAATCCATATTTGTTATATATGGTCGGATAAAGGCTGCATCTTTTAGATGACCTTATAAAAAAAGGACCTACAGTGCAGTGAGCAGAACCAGGAGAGCATTGTACACAGTAAAAGCAATATTTTGTGATGATCAATTGTGAATGACTTAGCTATTTTCAGCAATACAATGATCCAAGACAGTTCCAAAGAACTCATGATGAAAAGCGCTATCTGCCTACAGAGAAAGAACTGATGGAGTCTGAATGTAGATCTAAGTATAGTACTTTTCACATTTTTTATTTTTTTGTGGGTTTTTTTTGGTTTGTTTTCTTTCACAACATGACTAATATAGAAATATATTTCTCATGATTGCACATGTATAACCCATGTCAAATTGCTTCCCACCTCAGAGAAGGGGGAAAAGAGAGGAGGAAGAAAATTTGGAACTCAATTTCTTTTTAAATGAATGCTAAAATTTGTCTTTACATACAATTGAGGAAAATGTATATTCTTTTAAAAGGGACCTATGAGTCATTTCACCAGTCTAGGGCTCAGTTTCCTCATCTGTAAAATGGGGAGAGGGGTGTTGGATTCAAATATTAAAATCACTTCAGCTGTATTACTTATTATCTGAGTGGTCTTGGGCAAATCACCCTCTGGGCCTCCATTACATCATCTATAAAATGCAGGGGCTAGGGTAGATGACTAGATGACCTTTGAAGTTCTGTGATACAGTGAACAGTTGTACTCAGCTGCTCCAAATCTACTATCATAAGACTAATAATTCTGTGAGCCCTTGACTACTTTCTCTGAAATCAAGACTCTAAATGCAGAATATAGAATACTTGTAGGTATAAGGCATGATTCCCTGCCCTCAAGGAGTTTATAATCTAGTTTAAGATTAAAAACAGGTTTGGATACATATGAAAAGTTACCTAGTAATTAAATCAGTTTCATAGTAACACTTCGAGAGTATGGCGTTAGGAATAATCATTGAGGAGGAGCAATGAAGCAGCATGGTGCAGGTGGAAAGAGGTGATTATGAGTCAGACTTCAGTTTTCTAATCTCTAATATGAAGGAGTTAAATTAATATATTTGATATATTTTGCAGCCTTCAAGTCCAAATATTCTGAAACTCTGGGGTGTGTGTGTGGGTGTGTGTGGGTGTGTGTGTGTGTGTGTGTGTGTGTGTTTCTTGGGAAATGTGTGGATGTAGCAGAGTATTCCCTGGAGCTTTAGCCTGGTAGATGCTAACTGTTAAGGAAAGAGACACAGCCCCTGCTCTTGTGGACTTTCCCGTCTCATTAAGAGTCACGATCCCTCTGTCCATGGCACTTTGCTATTGCTTTTTTCCTCCATGGCAGGACCAGCACTTGGTAGATGATGACACTCTGGAGGAGGATGGGAGCCAGGATGCAGTGCTGCAGTTGCTGACAGAAGATGCTGTCTATACTACCATGCGTTTCTCCCGGCCCTTCCGCTCCTGTGACTCCCATGATGGAGACATCACAGTAATAACAGAGGAGGGTAGGGGGTATTGGTGGGTGGGGATTAATTTTCCCAAATCTGAACCCTGAAATATTTTCTCTCAAGTTTCCTTCCTCTTAGGAACCTAGAATCACAATCAGATCAGAATCCCAGGCATTCTCAGTCTCTCATGTTCCCTATGGCTACTTTTCCACTGTCCCTGCCCTAATCAGACCCTTCTGTCATACTCTCACTTAAGCCTTTCTACAGGCTAGAGCTTCATGTGTGGGAGGCAGCATGGTGCAATGGAAAGAGCAATATATTTTGAAGTCATTGCACCTGGATTCAAATCCCAGTTCTATCACTTTGTACCTGTGCAACCTTGGGCAAGTCTTTTTTATACTTGTGGGCCTCAGTTTTCTCATCTGTAAAATGAAAGGGTTATGCTATATAGCCTCGTAGGTCCCTTTCACCTCCAAAATCAATTTTCCTATTTTCATTCCCTGCTAAACTCTCACTCCTGAGAGGAACCTGTACAGAATAGGTGTAGACCCTAGAGATTTGCCTTTTGATTACACGTGTGTGTATTCATGTGTAAGATAAGTGTACCCACATGAGGTATCTAAATATAAACTGCAACTCTTGGAGAGCATAGACAGATATAACCTGAGATAGGCCTGCCTTTGCTGAGAAGAGATTGAAGGGCAAAGTCTTTACCACCAGCAAGCTAAGAGTTAGAGGGCATGCTGCCCCCAGCAGCACTATTAAGGCTGCATGCTCTTTGCTCCAGTCTCCAAATAGTATTTGGCTTGTCAAGCTAAGTGAACAAGAGCTTATGAAATAGGTAGTAATAAGTGATAAGTGCTGGAAATACAAAGAAAGTCAGGAAAACATTCTCTCCTCTCAAAGAGCTCACAGTTTAATGAGATAGACAACATGTAGACAGTTACCTAAGACCATGCTGTCTATAGAATAAATTGGAGTTAATCTTAGAAGGCAGGCTCTAGTACCAAGGGGATTAGAAAAGCTATCTTATAGAAGGTGGAATTTTAGCTAGGCCTTGAAGGAAACCAAAGAAGCCAAGAGGCAGAAATGAGGAGGGAAATAATTCCAGGTATGAGGCCAATATCACAGAAACACAGAGTATGTGGAGATGAGGAAGTCGTAAGAAGACTTATTGGCCCCGAAGCTGTTCTTTTAGAAGGAAGCTGATAGACATAGGTCCTGGTAGTCAAAATGCCTCCAGTAGGTGATGTATGAATTGTTACCACTGATGACTGTAAAGTTCTTGATATTGATGTCACTGCATTTTGTAAGTGAAACGTAGCCATGGTTCTTGGAACTGATGATCTAAGAAGAACATATTGCTGTCTTATAATAGACATAAGTACATAATTATGTCTCCCATAATTACAACAACTGTCTTTATGCTGGACCAGGGGCCCCCAGCCTGCCCTCATTAGAATGCAATGAAAGCAGTTTTCTAACTGGCTGAGATGCTGGGGCTCCTGGGGCTCCAAGCTCCAGGCTCCAGGCTTCAGCCTCTAGGCTCCAAGTTCCAAACTCCAGGCTCCAGGCTCCAGAGTCCAAGCTCTAGGCTCTAGTACTAGCATTCCTGGACCACCATTGCCATCATTACCCAACTAGAATTATATTTCCCACAGCTAAAATATGTCTTCTCTAGAGGTACAAAGTTCAGGACAAAAGAGGCACCAATGAGCACTCTCTCCCAAGGGATCGGGGTTGCCCAATTCTGCTCCTTCCCACCAAACTCTGCTTATGCAATAGATCATCACAAAGAATAGTTAGTAAGCCTTTTTATCTGAGCAAAACAGCCAACAAAAAACAGAGAAGTAATTAGATTAAAAATAAAGCGGAGATCAAGTGTGAGTGAATTCTTTAGCTGAGAGCCAGATAAGATCTTAACTCTGATCAAGAGAGAATACACAGTCTTAACCAAGGAGAAGTCCCATCTCCAAAGTTTCTAAGGAGAAAAAGCCCAGATCAGGGACATGTTGAGGAACCAACTTCCTATCGTTTCTCCTTGGGTGTCTTTTTTGAAGAGCATCCCTTTCAGGAGTCATGTTTATCCCCCTCCATATGGAGCACAGAGTTATCCATCACCCACCACTCTTGGGTGGGGGCTGGGTTAAATGTACATAGCAATTGTGTTTATCTAAGTATATGATGATTGCTAGTGAGGAGATGTCCTTCATATTCCTCTACTGATTCTCAATTGCCTTTGCCAGAGTGACACAATCCGGGTCCTGGCAGCTTATGGGCTGGATGACACAGTGAGGCTGGAGAGGGAGCGCACCTTTGTCAAGTCAATCTTCCTGCTGCAGATTGTCCATCCTGATGATCTTGATGCCCCTGCAATCTCTTATATTCATGACTTGGAGATCACTGATGTGAGAGACATTTCCATTTAAATGCCTATGCAATGGCTGCTACCTGTTTTCCAATTCCCCATCCCTTATCTTTCCAAGCTTCCTCACACCACCACCCCTGGACCTAGAAAGGAGACAGAGGCTCACATAGGCATGGGGAAAAGGGAAGTACAAGAGAACTATAAGAGATTAGAAACGGGAGATGAGGGAGTAGAAAGGAAGCAGAACAAGGAGAACGATGAAAGTGGGAAAGGGATTCTCTCTGATTTTTTCTTATTTATACAAAAACCCTTTGATTTCTAGGAATCAAATCTAGGGCACATAGTCATTATAGTATTAAAGGAGTTGTTGTAAATTGAAAATAATTATTTTTAGCTAATGAATGAGGAAGCAAAAGCAGTCAAAAACAGTAAACACTTTAGTTTCCCAATCATCTCACAAACATATCTCCTCAACTCTCAGCTATCCAATTGTAATATTTTACTCATCTTTCAATTAGCTTTTGGATTTCTTCACCCAATAGAATCTTCCCCAAGACAAAGCCAAACTTCAGGCCAATCAAGTTCCTTCTATACTCCCACCATACTACTCCAAACACACTTCCCATGATGCGTCTGATATTTTGCACACGAACATCTCCTCGGAGTTGATCAAAAGTTGAAAGTCTTGGTTATAATTCCGGCTTGGCATGGTCCATTAGTTATGACCTCAGTAGGACCCTGAATTTCTCCATTCACCTGTAGAGCACCATAAGACCTATGACCATGGGATGTGAAGCTAGAAGAGATCTTAGAGACCATTGAGTTAAATGTGTTCATTGTACACATGAAGAAACAGATAGACAGAAAGATTAAATGACTCTTCCAAGGATGCACAAATAGTATTTAGATACAGGCCCTTAGATTCAAAATCCTGGGCTCTTGTCATTCCATGATATTAACAAAGAAAGCCCTATCCCCTGTTTTTCAGCCTTTCTCGAGACCCTCACCCCATTCCCAGGTCTCAGATGCACGTCTCCACCTCAGCTAAATATCTTTGTGTGTCTCCAACCCAGTTCCTCATCCCTGAAGATGACACCACTTATGCCTGCACCTTTCTTCCCCTGCCCATCGTCAAGGAGAAACATCACATCTATAAGGTGAAGCCAAGGTGGGGAGGGTGAAGGAAAAGTCAAAGGATTGAGGAGGAAGGAGCTACTAGACCTGGGGTATAAGGAGAGGGAAGAGAATAGGCCTAGATTAAGGAAAGAATGAGTCCAGGTTCCCAGATCCATGCATTATAGTTTGCAGGCCCATTTTATGAAAATGGGGATTGGATACTCTATAGCAACATTCCATGTAACAAGTAATAATGGCTAAATAAATTGTGTGTTAAGTTTAGTCACTGCCAAAGAATGAAGAGCAGGACACATTTTGATATGCTCTGATCCCAGAACTTTATCCATCACAGAAGACACAATGTGTTCCAAGAGATAAATAAGACAGGATCCCTGTCCTCAGAGGGTTTACAGTTGAGTAGTTTAGGAGGTAAAGTCCACAGACAAATAATTATCATGCAAAATAAAACATTATAATAAATGAGAAAGTTGCCAACCCTGGTCTAAAAGTTCCAAAGAAGGAAGGAATGATGTGGGATTTGAAATGATGGGCAATAAGAAATAAATTTAGTTTTGACCAAATTCTTGCTTTAGGGGGAGGGGAAGGGAAAAACAGACTAAGACTGGGATGGAAGTAACACTCCCCCTCTTCTCCCTCTACTGATTTACCCGAAGTTTGAGCCAAAGCTGCTCTACCACAATGAGACGATGGTGCACCACATCCTGGTTTATGCCTGTGGTAATGCCAGTGCCCTCCCCACGGGCATCAGTGACTGCTATGGTGCTGATCCTGCCTTCTCCCTCTGCTCCCAAGTGATCCTGGGCTGGGCTGTCGGGGGCACTGTAAGTCCGGGATGGTTAGGGAATAGTTCTCTTGAAGGAGGGTAGGTAGCTGCAATATCTGGGAAGCTGGGTAAATGGAGGAATTGGAGGATGGGAAGGAGGAAGGGTACTTAGGAGCTAACGTGCTTAGGGGAGGATCAGAGCCCTAGATGTCTCCACTCAGCTCTCACCATTATACCTATGCCCTCCTACCCCAGAGTTACCAGTTTCCAGATGATGTGGGCATTTCCATTGGGACTCCCATGGACCCCCAGTGGATCCGGCTAGAGGTTCATTACAGCAACTTCCACAATCTTCCTGGTGAGAGAGTAGAGGTGGGATGGATGGGGAAGTAGCAACTGACAGGGACAGACTAATTTCTTTTGGGAGCCTGGAAAGTATGGGAGTGAAGGGCCGTGTCAGAGACCTTTAGCTCTTCTCAAGTCCCTGTGTCTCTTCTTCTGACTTTCCCTTTCCCCTAACTAAACTTTTTCTGTCCATGTCCCCCACTTTCCAACAAGTATGCTCCTCTTTGGCCAGGTGTGTATGACTCTTCTGGGATTCGAGTTTATTTCACCCCTATCCTGCGAAAATATGACTTGGGAGTCCTCCAGATTGGATTCTTTACCTTCCCCATCCACTTCATACCACCAGGAGCAGAGTCTTTCATGTCCTATGGGCTCTGTAGGACTGAGAAGTTTGAGGAGGTGAGGCCAAGAACCTCTCACTACCTCTTCTCTCCTTGAGACTCCAGAGCTGCATTCTGCCTTCTAAATTGTCCCTCCACACAACCCTATCATCCCCTTTGGCCCCAAAACTTTAAACAGGATATGCATTCTGAAAATTAGGTGTTTGGGGAGGTCTGGGGAGCAAAATGAAAGTAAGTAAAAGGTATGTGGATAGTGGGGTATTTTGCAGCCAAATTAAGAGCAGGGAGGTATTGGAAATGAAGGGAGAATCTAGGAAAGAGTAAGCATCCCTGGGAAACCAAAGATAAATGAGTAAAAGCTAGATGACCAAAGGTAAATCATTTTACCAAATAGAGCTTCAGTTTCTTCATTTGTAAAATGAGGCTCATAAAAATATAAACTTATTATGAGGAAAGTGATTTTAAGCCTTAAAGTTCAATGGAAATGTAAGTTATTATAATTGTACCATAGAATTTTGACAGAGGGGCAACATGGCGAATTGACAGATGACAGGTCTCAGAGCCAGGATGACACGGGTTCTACTTCTGGTACATACTAGCTGGAGTCAATTAACCTCTCATTCTCGGTAACTCTCTAAGGAGCTTAGTTATTGAATTTTCTCATCCAGGAAATCTGTATATCAATATCCAATTATACATGCCCAGGTCCAGTTCTCTACTCCCATAGAATTTTATAGGCAGCAGAGTTCTTGTAGATCGTCTAGTCCCAATCCTTACATTTTATAGATGGAGAAATTGAGGTCAGGAGAGATAAAGTGACTTACTCATAATTATCTATAGGAAGTTAGGTTGAAGCCCCACTCGGGGTTGGTTTTGGGGAGTCAGATGTCCTTCTCTCTCCATGTCACAGATGAATGGTACTCCAGTGCCTGACATCCAAGTTTGTGGCTATCTTCTGCACACTCACTTAGCAGGGCGGTCTTTGCAAGCTGTGCAATACAGGTAAGGATAAGAGGTTGCTTCTGCAACACAGGATTTCTGGAGATACAGTAATGCTCTTCTGTAGTGTCGTTGTAGTTGTGAGAATGGAGATAGGCAGAGGATGGCCTTTGCAGTACAGTTGAGTGGAATGGGGGGATGCATATTGGGGGTTAATGTACAGGGAAGGCACTGGATTGGGATCAAGATCCTATTTGCTTTTTGTTTTATGAACAAGAAGTGCCTCTGGAATTCCATAATACCTCCCCTGCCCTGCTTTCTTGTCTATGTTGTGTTCATCTCTTTATTCCATTACTTTTCTTCCCTATACTCCCAATAGGAATGGAAAGCAGATCAGGACCATCTGCAAGGATGATGCCTATGACTTTAACTTACAAGAGCCTCGAGACATGAAAGAGCATGTGACAGTCAAGATGGTGGGAGCCTTGGGAGTAGAAAAGGGAGGTGGTCAAGTGGTAGAACTACAGCCAAGGGTTATTTATACATGACTCCGACCTAACAAACCCTAAGACTGCTCTTGTATTTCTTGGTGTCCCTTTGCACGTCTGACTTTCTTCCATCATATTTCATTCTGAGCAGGGAGATGAATTATTGGTGGAGTGTCAATACCAGACCCTCGATCGTACCATGCTCACCTTTGTAAGTGTCTCCCAGAGCTATAACTAGAAATCTGAGCACCTGGGGTGAACATCACTAAACATGCCAGCTAAACAAATTGCTACACCGGGGGGATCATGGAGAAACAAAGGGGAGGAGGAGATCCCAGGATATTGTCCTATGGTGGGAAGATGGTGATGATGAAACCCTGGGGTACTTCAAGGCCACTACTGGGGATGGCAGCCTTTGGTAGGGGAATGGAGCAACCACACATAGTGTAGTACAGTGAAAAGGATCCTGGGAGTCAGGGAACTTGAGTTTGAATTCTGGGTCTACTGTATTTACTTTCTGTGTGACTTTGAGTAAGTCACTTAACCCTTCTTGTCCCTGGCTTCTTCATTTATAAAATGTAGGGTTCGGACTAAATGATCTCTAAGTCTCTTCTAGCTCTATAACTCTATAATTTGGTAACTTCCTAATTTAATAGAATATTCTTATTAACTAAGTGTTAAGCTCATTTTTTTCTATCTGTTAAAAAAAAATACCACCAGCCCCTTCTTCAGTACTATAGGACAAAGTCCAAAGTCTGCAAATATAAATTTCTAAAAGAGGCAGCAAGGCCACAGTGAAGGAGAATGCTGGTCTTGGAGAAAGGAAACCTGACCTTGCCCTAGTAATTATATAAGGCATACATGTGTGTGTGTGTGTGTGTGTGTGTGTGTGTAGAAATATATACATATATATATATATACATATATATATAATGTATGTATGTGTGTGTGTGTGTGTGTGTGTGTGTGTATATATATATATATATATATATATATATATACACACACATATACACAAACACAATATATATGCACATATACATATATGGGACTAAATCTAAGTGTCCCCCAACCCTGCTTTCTAACTCATTTCAATGCTCCCTATTCCAGATTGGGACCAATCATCAGTTTTCTCATCTGTAAAATGAGGGAGTTGAACTAAAAGTTCTCTGAGGTGCTTTATGTAATTCAATAGCATTATGATCCTGCCCACCATATCTTCTACTTTTTCCCCTGAGGCTTTGCTTCTTCATATATCTAGGGTCAGAAGTTGGGGGCAGTGAGTCTTGGACTTGCTAGGTCACTGGTCCTAGTATCACGGCTCTTGGGAGTCACAGCCACTCTGCTAAGAAGCATTCATTGCGCTAACATTTGGAGTTGAAGTAACAAGGGGTGAGGTGGCTCTATGGTAGAGAAAGAAGAGAAATGGAACTCTTCTGGAAGCTTCTTACCTCATCAGAGCTCTGCTTTCTGTGTTTCTGTCTCTGCCTGCCTCTGTCCTCTGTGTTTCTGTCTTTCTCACTCCTACTCCAGGGTGGCCCAAGCACCATGAATGAGATGTGCCTCATCTTTCTCTTCTACTATCCCCGGAACAACATCTCCAGCTGCATGGGGTACCCAGACATCATCCATGTTGCCCATGAACTTGGAGAAGAGGCAGAGGAGTAAGTATGCCTGGAAAAGCAGGAGGGGAGCAACCCAAGAGTTAGAGACCTAGAGAACTTCTCTCTGGGCTGCCTGTATTCTCCTAACTTCTCTCCCTACTTTTTTTTTTTATCACCAGTACCTTGTAGTTTCATCACTAGATAAGGACTTTGTGTATGTACCTGTCAGCAAGGGCTACTCAGAGAAATAGATGAGAATAATTGGCTCTGGGAGCCTTAATTATTATATTAGCAACATAGCAAATATGTACTTCTACATGAATTATTCATGTCTACGTTCTTCTCACACACCATTTTGAATTAATCAAAGTCTTGGTTTTCCTTTAAAAGATTCAAATAGTTCCCCACATATCCAGACCCATATCTGTCTGTTTTTGTAACTCTTCTCTCCCCATCAAACTTCCTATGGGTTTTTCATTGTGTCTCAAAAAATGAATGCATGTATAATGTCTGCAAATACAGATTTCGAAAAGAGGCAGCAAGGCCACAGTGAAGGTGAATGCTAGTCTTGGAGAAAGGAAACCTGAGTACAAAGCCCACCTCTGACATTTACTAGCCCTAGGTAAATTGGTAAACCCCTCCATGCCTCTGGGGACTCCCTAGGTCTTATACACTGAATCATAGTCTATTGTGCTGTTGCTGTTCATCCTTCTTTCTTGAAGAGGACCAATGACATTGGGAAAGGAAAGTCTTGACTTGTGAGAGAACTGGATTTAAGTGAGGCAGCACTGTACAAAGTCATCAGCCTCACTCTCTCCTCTAGAATATGTGAAAGGAGTCCCCTCCACCCTCCCCAGAACTCCTCATTATGAAAAACCACAAATCCTGCTGATTGCCCCAAGTACGTCTTTTGGGGGGCAGGGGTGGTCTAGGAAGAGAGGCTTCTTATCTTGTTGTTGTTGTTGTGCAGTCCTTTCAGACTCTTCGTGACCCCATCTTGGGGTTTACTTTGCAAAGATACTGAAGAGGTTTACCATTTCCTTCTCCAACTCATTTTACAGATAAGGAAACTGAGGCAAACAGGGTAAAGAGACTTGCCTAGGGTCACACAGCTAGTAAGTGTCTGAGGCTGGATTTGAACTCAGGAAGAGGAGTCTTCCTGACTCCAGATCCAGCACTCTATACACTGTGCCACCAAGCTGCCCCAATTTTTATCTTACCATCTACTTCAAAATGTCAGTTACCCCTAAACTAATGCCAGGAGCTCACCTGAAGTGACAATCCCTGTGTTACCCGTTCAGGTTTAGAATCTTCATGCTAGCACATGTGACTCGACTTATTGTCTAGTAAATATCTACATGCCAAGAGAATGCCACTTCACAGCATTAAAACTGTGTGCTTGTATTAAAAGTGCTATTTGTGCTCTTAATGAGTGCCTCCCCATGTGTTCCACCCTAGGTGGCCTTCCAGCTTGTCTCTCTCTTTTGCCGGTTATGACAAACACCCTTCTCTGTTCCTTTCACCTCATGTTTTCTCTTTTTTTTTTATCTCATGCCCATTTTCCTAATCATCCCTTTATTCTGCACCTCCCCTTCCCATTCACTCCCTTCTTGCAGCTCCATGGAGGGCATGATGGCCATGAATAATGTTGAGTGGACACCAGAAATCATCAAGAAGGCAGAGAAAGCCTGCAAGGAGGCTGACCAGGTGGTGATAATAAAGACCATTGATGTGAGTGACTAAGTTGGACCTCTCTCTCTCCTTTGAGATTTGGGGTAGCCTGGGAGGCCATGAGGAAGAAAAATGAGAGTGGGAAGAAAAGGACTAGAGGGTGGGAGGCTAAGGAAGTTGGAAAAGGCTAAAGAGAGGGAAGGGGGCTGAGAAAAAAGGAGGGAGGGCAGCCAGAGGGTGGGGCACTGCAGTGAAGCTTTTTGCTGCTTTCCTTAGTGGGGATGGGAGGGAAGGGAGCTGGGGAGTAATTCCCTCAATGAGGAGAGTGTCATTAGGTAGGGTGTGAGTGATCCGCTGAGAACTCCTAGGCAAAAAGGAAAGGTGGGGACAGAGAAGAGAAGAAAAGGCTCCTCCCCTTCCTCCTTCTCCCAGCTTCTACCTCTTTCAAGATCACTTACCCTTTCCTCTTTGTACCCAGGAGATGGTGAGGAATCAGACAGGCCGCATTCCAGACATACTCCCTACTCCCCGTGGGCCTTGCTTGGAGTCCTCAGGGGGCAAAGTAGAGCCAGGGGACAAGACCCCTGCAGGTTTCCGAGCTGCCCCTCCAATCCACTCTGGCTCCAGTCCTACAACTCCCTTAACTATTCTCCTACTCCTACAGGGTGGCTTTTCTTGGCTTCTGTTTTCCCTCCAAGGTGCAATCTGAGGCCCACCTGGAGACTCCCCTGGTTAGGGCCAAATACATAAAAATTTCCTTCCTGTCCCCACTGACTCTGTACAATACCTCCTCTACCTTTTCACCACAAAAGCCCTTCTCTTTATGCCACCCCTGATTCTGACATGGAGTGACAACCCTCCCATAACCTGAGCTTGGCTTTTGTCCAATAAAAGTTCTGAAATGATGAAGATATGTCTAATAAAGCCTCCTGATTCACTGGCTAGGAGTTGGGCACTTCTTGAATAAATCTATAATCAGGGAATGAAGTGATGTCCTAGCTGGAGAGCACAGCAATTTGGGGAAAGGGAGTTAAATTTTAACCATACCTCTTTCCCTCTTCCTTGACACCTCTTACTGTCTGGCTGTCTCTAGTCTGGCACTTCCTTAGGGAGGAAAATAAGAAAGAAAGAGAAGAAACTATATCCCTGGGATGTACCAGATAAGCAATCTACAAAATAAGAAGACAGCACTAAATGTTCTCTTCAAATGTGAAGTCTCCTAAGAACAAAATATAACTTTCCTGTCCCATATCTCCACTGTCTCCCCTCAAGCCAAAGTGCCACATGGGTCAAAAAAGACCCAGTTACCTAATAGCTCAAAACACGTCATTTAAAGCCATAAACCCTACCCTGGCCTGGGTATTCACTGGCAGGAAACCCAGAGCTCCCTGACTGGAGAACATCATTCCTTAAAGAAAGATGTTTTAGTGCTAGTGTTTCTCAGTAAATTGATCCATATACCTTCAGCCTGGGACATAGTTGTTATCGTAACAGAGATGATGGAGCTGAACATGTGCCCCGGCCCCTTCTAATGGGCTGCATCCTCCGGTCCCTTGTTAAAAAATATGTGGGTCCAAAAAAAAAAAGAAAAAGAAAAAAAGAAAGAAAGAATATGTGGGAAACCAGAGGCTACTAGACAGTCCTCTGGTGTGTCCTCACAATTGGAAATTATGTTAAATAAAGATCATTGATAACTAAGCCAGAAAGAGCCAACAGAGAGAAATCCACCATCACCACCCACCCTCAGGTCCAATGGAGCACTGTCAGAGCCCCCCAGGAAAGTATTTAAAGTGAGGAAGTAGAAGGCAGGGCCTTTCTCCTCTCTTTATATAGCCTGTTGAATGGGAGACTTTTTCTAGCTCAATCGCCAATCATCCTCAACACTAGGTATTTATGGGAACAATCCTAGCAGTCACTGGTCTCATACATGCAGAGCAGGCAGCCCACTACAAAGATCTAGGGTGCATTCTCCATCCCATCACTCTTGTTGCATTAATATTTACACACAGAATGGTTATACTGGATATTAAGAAGCCATCTAATTTAATGATTTCTTGAGCGATCACAAATGCAGGAGAATAAAATACATCCTCTTGTACATAAAGTTCATTAAGTCAAGGTCAAAGAACAGCACAATAAAGTATTTAACACTTTATCACAGATTGAAATTCAGAATAATGCTTTAAGACAGGGCCATCAACTATCTTTGCCTAATTCACAGGTTCAGGCATAGCAGTGCTTCTTAACCTTGGGTCCATTATCTTATTGAAAGGGTGGGGGGAAATATATATATATGTGTGTGTGTGTGTGTGTGTGTATATATACACACACACACACACACACATACATATATATACATACATACATATATACATACATACATATATATATATATATATATATATAATATACACATACATATATATGTGTGTATAATATATATAAGATGGGAGCACTCTCTGGAGCTTTCTTGGACCATAGAAACCTTGAAGGTCCACAGCAATAGTTTTTAAAACAGGTGCCTTAGGGTATTAGCTACTTTGAAACCAGAGCATTTCCAACCAACTTGTTTAATCCTGCCGTGCCTCTGTATTTCAAATGTCCTTACTGATATCTCCTCAGTATCCTTCAGCATATGTCTTTGTTAGTTTTCTCTAGAATGAGTAGGTACCCCTTGAGAAGCAGCTATGGCATTCTTATTGTTGGTGTATGTATGTTCTAGGGGGCTCATTAAAACTCCAACTTAAGGTTGTGATCTACATTCCCCACACCATTGAAACCACACTTCCCTCCCTAGCCTTTCTCCTAAGCTTTAAACAAGTGGATACTCACAATGGAACTGGATGGTTTAAAATCCTAACAGCAGGGAGTGTCTTACTATCAGATTCACCAAAGATATAAGATCATAATTCTAGAGTCCAAGCAACTTCAGAGGTCATCTAGTTTAACTCTCTCATTTTACAGATGAAGAAACTGAGGCGGGGAGGCATGTTAAATTATTTGCTCAATATCACAGACACAGTAAGCATCAAAAGTAGAACACAGGTTTAGAGTCAGAAATCTTTCTATTGTGCCACATTCTCCCCCTCTGTCCCCCCAGGAGATCTTGAGATGAATCTCCCTAATTTCCCTCTTTGCTTAGGTTTCTGCCCTATATCTTTTTTTATTATTATTATTTTTCAGGCAATTGGGGTTAAGTGACTTGCCCAAGGTCACACAGCTAGTAGGTGTCAAGTGTTTAGTCTGAGGATGGATTTGAACTCAGGTCCTCCTCACTTTAGGGCCGGTGCTCTATCCACTGAGCTACCTAGCTGCTCCTCCACATCTTTGTTGAGGTCTGAATTATAGACTAATTGTGAACATATTCCCAGCTTGGTTAAGACTCTAACTGGGACACACTGTTCCTAGCCACCTCACAGACAACAAACACTCAAGTTTGAAATTGATCCACCCCCACCAACCACTGAAAAAGGTCCCCACACCCTCCAGTAAGCAGAGATGCAAGTCCTTGCCTTGGAACAAGATATCAGAGATGCTCTGAGAGCTGGGAAAGGAAATAAAGGCCTAGAAAAAAAGGAGATGCTAATAATAGCCTATATTCATATAGCTCTTTGTGTTTTATATTTCAATTTATTAAGTATTTATTAAAAGAGTATTGTGTCAGACACTATGCTAGGAGCTAGAAGTACAAAGACAAAAATGAAAATGGTGAAATTAAAAAGAGAAAAAGGTAAATTTTAAAAATTAGAAGTGTTTTCCTCATAGTGGCCCTGGGACGTAGGGAGTGGCATTATTATGGACATTTGAATGATGAAAAAAGGATTTGAACTCAGGTCCTCCTGACTTCAGGCTCTCCCCTACACACAGAAGATCCTTACAGAGTGAACTCATTCATAAAATATAAGCATAGTTAGACACACATGTAGAGAACACTTGTGACCAAGGAATACTTCCTGACTCCTGGCTCCAGAAATCCTTTTATTCTTTATGTGGTATTCATGAGGTTCCCCCTAAGGTACAGCTCTTTACTAAACCCCTATAGGGATGGGGAACCCATGGCCTTGAGGACATTGATTCCCTACCCTGTGCCCTAGGATTTGGGCCTTTCTAGAATCCATAGCTAGTCGTTCTCTCCATCATGAGGGGTCATGATCCCTGAAGCTGTCCTAAAGCTAAGAAACTGTCCTACCTCCCTCTGCAAGGACTTCCTCCATTGTTGGCCACTACTGCTCTGGCAGACTGTCATATCAATTCCAGTTGCCAGTGAGATCTCTGATAGATCTTCTGGTCACTTGAGTCCTTCTCAGAATACTCACTCAGCTAACATGTAGAAAGAATAAACCTAAGAGAAACAGAGACAGACACGTGGCAGTCCAGTAGAAAAAGGTCAGCTGCCGTATCTCCCACCTATCAGCTCACAGAAGGTCTGCCTCACTCACTGCCGGAAAGGAAAGAGAGCCAGAAAGGACAGGGTCAAAGGAGAAAATATAGTAAATGGGAGGTGGGATAGGATGGAGGGAAATATAGATAGTTTTTCACAACATGACCATTGTGGAAGTGTTTTGCATGACTACACATATATAACCTATATCAAAGTGCTTGCCTTCTCAGTGAGAGTGGATGGGGAGCGAGGAAAGGAGAGAATCTGGAACTCAGTTTTAAAAACAAATGCAGATTGAAGCATACTATTTGCTATTTTTTTTTCTTCTGTTTTGTTTTGTTTCCTTTTTCTGGTGGTTCCTCCTATTGGTTCTAATTCTTCCTTACAACATCACTAATGTGAAAATATGTTCAATAGGAAAGTATATGTACAGCCTATATCAGATTGGGTAGGGAGGGGGGAGGGAGGGAGAGAAAAATTTAAAATTCAAAAGCTTATGGAAGTGATTATTGATAAATCAAAATAAATCAATAAAAAAATTAGGAAAAAATTGTTTTTACATGTAACTGGGAAATAAAACACACAAGCAATGGGGTATAATAATCTATCTTACTCTAAAGGAAAATAGAAAGGGGAGGGGATAAGAGAAGGGAGGGGCAGTGGTAGAAGGGAGGGCAGATTGGGGGAAGGGGTAAATCAAAATTCACATCTGTCTTAGAGTGGGGGGAGGGGAGAGTTGAGGAGAAAATTTGGAACTCAAAATCTTCTGGAAGTGAATGTTGAAAACTAAAAATAAATAATTTTTAAAAACTTAAAATAAAAATAATAATAATAAAGAAAGAGACCCAAAGATCAGCATTGTCCCTTTTGTAAACTAACTCAGCTCAAGCTCAATACCACCTGAGTCATCAGCCCTTCCAGCTCCCTTTCAGTCAATTAGAAGACTTTCCATTGGTCACGAATGGCTAGAAATGGGCTCTCCAAAGCTCCACCTGTTGCATTGGAGGTGTGTGGGATGCCGCTCAAATTAAAGAACACACAGAGGTATCCAAGGAGAAACAGAAAGTTAATTTATTATTTGTTAGAAATAGGCTTGACACCAAAAATTTAGTATCAAGAAAATTTATTATAGTCTAGAGGATTTAGACGTTTCTGGCCAGAAGAGGGCTCCACCCCTCTTTAGGAGGGGTGGGCCCTGAGTGCAAGGGAAAGTGTGCTTTTATGCAGTTGAATTCAGGGCGAAACCTCCCAGGCCGGGATTGGTCCAACCCTTCCCAGGTTACACTTTTTCTTACATGTTTCCCCTTGATATACTCATGTATGTTCCCCCCTCCCTTAGTCATACGTCCCCATGACTCGTTAATGAGGCTCTAATTTTATGCGGGGTGTGTCAGATAATAGTAATGAAGTTCATTAAGCAGGCGCACTAACATTTTTCAGGTGTCCTCAGGTTGACCCTAACTGGTCTGAGCTGGCTCGACCCCTATCTTGATTTTGGGGT